GTCCGGAGTCTTGGGCTGAAACAAGGGCCTACTTGGAGGTTCATGGTACTTATTCACCACTTGTAACTGTACTTATATCTGTACTTGTCACCATATTAGGGCACTTAAGGGGCTTAGAAGTGGGTTATATATGTACAGTTACAAGTGGTTAGTAAGTGCCATGAACCTCCAAGTAGAGCCGGTGGGACTAAGGGTCCAGGGGCTTAAGCTTCTGAAGAGTTTGGGGTTTATAGGGTTTAGGGTTTAGGGCTTAGGGTTTAGGGTTTAAGGTTTCGGAAACCCCATGAGGTCAGGATTTTCAACTTCGGAGGTAAGGCCCCCGAAGCCCCTGAAAGAAGCTGGTAGGTGCCCAACTGGAAGGTGCTCCACCCAGGCTGGGACCTGGGCATAGGCCGGGGGGGGGGGGGGGGGGGGTTTGGGGGCTTGAGGGTTTGGGGGTGGTTTAGGGTTTAGGGTTTAGGGTTTAGGGTTTAGGGTTGGGGGGTGTCGGAGCGCCAGAACAATAACACATAAAGAAGGGCAGGCAGGAGGGGTGGGGGGGGGGGGGTGGGGGATTATATGACATTAGTTACGTCACGATGAAAAAGACTCTTTATACACATATACACAGATATTTGAGGAGCAGATCTCGTCTTGCCGACATGCGCGCAGGTCACCAAAACCCGTCCGTCTTCTGAACCATGACTTTCCTCTAGCTGGCCATGCACCCAAAAGCCCCCCCCAAAACCCCAAAACCCCAAACCCTGAGTCCTTGAAAACAGCATCCTTCCTGAGGCGGGTGCCGCCCCGCCCGGCATGGTGCCCCAGTCGGCCAGGGAGGCCAAAATGCGAGAAGCCTGCTGGTTGTCTAGCAACACCCGGGTTTAGGGTTTAGGGTTTAGGGCTTCGGGTTCAGGGAGAAATATGTGTGTGTGTATATACATGTATATGTATATGTATGTATGTGTATATAGCTATAGATATCGAGACTAAAAAAGTAACTTATGACTTTATGCATACGCGCCCCTGGAAAACCATGGGGAGCTCGCTCATGTGCTCTGAGACGGCGAAGCCTCGAAGGATCCTCTAGAAGGCGCGGCATTCCCGTGTTTTGGGGGGATGATGATTCTTCATATAGGAGCCTTAAGAATTAGAACAGGGTTTTGGGAGTTATTACAGTATAGCTACCCGACCCCTTTGCTAGGCAGGGAGCAGCTCGGCTATGGTGCTTCTGAATGGGTTTAGGGTTTACTTAGGGTTCATACTCGAGCTCTGCTCTGGTTCTAAGGACTGTAGACCATATTCCGTCCCGGTATAGCAACAGTATAGCCCCACATAGACCCTACATAATAAGCATGCTATAAGACCATATCAGCAGTAAACAGACTCTTTTTAGGTCGACATTCCAATGCAAGTGCCCTCAGGACTTGCGCTTGTAGCAAACGACACAGGTCCTGAATTCCAGAAAATCGTCCCGAAAAATCGCCCCAAAAGAGTCCCGGAATTTGGGGGGAGCTCCAAGTTCCCCAGTGTGAGGCCGGATTTCAGGGTCGGAATTGGAGCTACCCCCAAGCCCCGCGTAAGTTGGATTTAGGGGGGTCCGGGCAGGCTGGGGCAACCCATTTTTGAACGACATGTTGCTTCTCAATGGCTCACCATACACCCTAGTTTAAACTTAAAGATTTGGGGAATATCTTGGGGGTAGCTCGAGGGGGTAGCTCTGCAGTCCTTAGACTGGTTATGGCTAGCAACTAAACCCAAAAGGCCGCAAATTCTGGCCGCGTGGCAAGCTGGACGTGCCCCTCCGAGACCCCCTCCTTCCCCTCTCCGCCAGAACTAACAATCCATGCAGCCATATGGCAGGTACTCGACCCGAACGGGCTACATACGTACATTGCAGCCAGTGCGAGGCCCAAGCATTCATAAGGGCCCTAAGCCCTAAACCGTAAACCCGAAACCGTAAACCCCTAAACCCTAAACCCCCAAACCCTAAACCCTAACCCGGTGCGGAGGTCCCTTAAAAGCAAATCCCTGTGCACGTGCGCCTGGTAGCTCTGAAGAGAGCCTCGTGCCTGGCATCTTCAGTTCGGGTTCAAGGGATCATAGAGCCTCTACACCTTGACTGAAAGTTTGGTTCACTTGGGGAGTTCCGAACAACGGGGCACCCGTTTTGGGGGGTCCCTTTAAGGGGATTCTGTTGGGGTAGAAAAGGGGTGCCCTTATTTTGGGAGATGGGAAATCATCATTTTGTCTCACGTGGCTCGACGAAACTCTGCTTGGCTTCGCTATGAAAAAGATAAAAACCAGATTGGACGAACTGGGATGGCCCTTAAAACCCTCTGGGACATAATTTCTACACATGGCCCTCTTAAACTCTTAAACCCAACAAGGGAACATATGCAATGCCCCAGGGACCTACCTAGCAAGTCCGATGTGGTGGAGGTGGCATCTGTCCTAACTACAGTGGACACGATGGACAACTTGCACAGCTCAGTTTTGAGAATGAGTAATTACTGTGGGAGTTCAGGGCCGATGTTAGGGGTTGCATAGAAGTTAAACATCTTTCTTGAAAACATAAGTCCCCAAAAGGCTTCGAAAAACCCTGCGCGTGCTTGTGACAGCTGCTGAGCGCGCCTTTGCGGCGTTCGCGCGCTGCAGCGCGGTGCTCAAGGGAGGCTGGGCTGTCTTCAACGGGGCGAACCTGGCTTGCACAGGGCAAGCAGGACCCGATGCAGGTTTTGAGGATGACCCTACTTGGAGGTTCAGGGTACCTATAACCCCAATTATAACTGTACTTATAAGCCTCCTAAGTCCCCTAAGTCCCCTAAGTCCTCCAAGTTATTTGGGGTTATAAGTACGCATGAACCTCCAAATAGGGCTTTGGGGCTCAGGCCGTGGGGTTGAGGGCTGAAGGGGTCCAGGCTTGGGGAACATATTCGAGAAGTCGGCCATGCTTTTCTTTCTGTCCAAAGTTAAGGCATATGACTTGCGGGAGCTTAGTCTGCAGGACATTTCTGAATTTCGACATCGCAGCCTGGGGGGGGGGGGGGGACCTTTCAACTATGCTCCAGCGGGGTCGGCGGCTTGAGCCGGAGGCTCTTAAATTTCGACATCGCAGCCTGGGGGGGGGAGGCCAAGCGTGTGCACGTGAACGAGCTGAATGAATTCTGTTTTTTTAGGGCCAGCTTGGGCCGCGCACCCTTCGCGAAGCTCGCTGACGACGATCTCCGCGACAACCTCATGTCAGGTTCAGGCACTCTAAATCCGAAGCCCGAGCTTTTGTCAGAAGTGAAGGTCTTCGTGAACTCTAGAAAGAGCAGGGGAATTCAGCGTTCAGAATGCCTTTAACTCCTGAAGCTTCTGAGCACAAGCTCTGAGATGTCTTGAACCACGTTGCAGTCAGCCATACCAAGAGGCCTACTGCCGCCGACAACAACACGAAAACCTCCTTTCGCCTAAGACCCTAAAGTCCCGCTCCAAAAGCCCTGCCTCGACTGTAATAGGGGTTACAGGGCCTGGCATAATTGGGCAGAGGGGGGGGGGGGGGTGAGGGTGCTCTGGTCAATTGAAGACCATGCGAAGACATAAACCGTCATAAACCCTTCTCAGCCTAAACCCTACACCCTAAGCCCCCTAAGAAAGGTACCACTGAGCAGGCTCTTCGGACGCGAGGCCCCACACGGCTTTGAACTTTGACCATCATGAACGCCGGATCGTTAAGCACGGGTTGAGGGTTTCGGGTTAGGTTTTAGGGTTTGGGGTTTAGGGATTAGGGTCACCGAATCGTGATGCACGGGTTGCCCAACGAGCTCTGATGCTCAGAACAGCCATTGCAGCTATGCGCACTCCAGCGAACGACCAGATAAAGGACGCCTCCAGCCTCCCAGTGTCTGCGCATGATCTGCAAGCCGAGGATTCTCTGCGACACGTCACGAGATGTCGGTGCCAAATGCAAGGTCCTACTGCTTCCTGCGCCGTCGCACTCCCGGCGTGGCTGTCGATGGACTCACCCCGCAGGAGTAAGCTCATGCCAAGTTCCCACAACCCGACTGCGCCCGTGGCCCTCACGCTGGATCCGTGGGTTTCTTGGGAGTCTCATCTTCTCTGAGAGTTGGGCATATCTCCTTGGTAGCCCAGTAACCATCTTATTAATAAGGGCACCCTTTTTCGGGTTGGTTATTTTTATAAGGGAACCCATAACCAAAAAAGGGTAAAGGCAAAGGGTACCACTGGGCTACTAAGTCGCTCTTTGCCCAGTGCGCGGCGTGCATCGCCTAGGACTTCAGGCTCTTCCGCTGCCAGCCACGACGCGGACGTCAGAGAGAAGAGCCGCTCACAACATGCCTCGACTCGATGGTCCAAAATTCGCGGGCCGCGCGCATAGGCCATCAGCAGCACTTTGAAGCAAGATGCGTCAGGAGCCTTGCCGGCCGCCTCGAGCCTTGTTCATTGTTGGGTTCATATAAAAAACCAAATTTTCATTTCTCTTCATTGGGTTTAAGTACCCCTAAGAATGTAAGATGTTACCCAGCTATGACAAAGGAGCTCCCCCAGGAGCTCCTCCACCGACTGGAAGTCTCCAGCAGCGGCGAAGGGCCGGGCCATGATGGCTGTTGCCTCGAGCAGGGAGGAGCCCAGGAATAGCAAAGGGTGCCCTTCTTGGGTTATTAAGAGGATTAGGGTTTAGGGTTTAGGGTTTAGGGTTTAGGGTTTAGGGTTTAGGGTTTAGGATTCTCTAAAGGGAACCCTAAACCCTAAAAAAGGAGCTAAGGGCCTACTCCGGGTCCTAGTTGCCCAAGATTCCGGCCACACACCCAGTGTGGCCAGCAGCCGCTTCATCTGCTCCAGGCCCTGCGTGTCATGTACGTCAAGCACGTAAGCAGCCAGCGTCTGCTTTAAGGCGGCCTGGCTTGGCTGGACACCTGACCTATACTGAACTTGGAACCCCAGCAAAATTCGAGTTCTAGCTGTTTCTTAGGAATTAGAGTACCCCCAAAATTGAAAAATATCCCAACGTATCCCTAAGTGACTCCATGGCTTTCCAAATCCAGGCTTCTGCCCGCTTGGGAGAACCAACTCCAGCCCACGCGCACACCACGGGATTGAAGGCGTGACCGCCAGGCCGAATCCTTGGTAGCCCAGCAACATATCACAATAAGAACACCTTCTTGGGGTCGGTTACCTTATGAAGGAACCCAGCAACCCTCCCCCAAAAAAAGGGTAAAGGGTACCACTGGGCTACCCAGAATCCCGGAGGTGATCATTCGAGAGAGCCACTCCTCTGCCTTTAATGCCTGGCCCCTTGAGGCATAACCTAGTTCATGGTTGGGATAGGATAGGATTAACAAAGGTGAATTCATATTCCTTATTGGGTTTAAGTACCCTTAAAAATGCAAAATGCTACCCAGCTATGACCTTGTAACCCCCAATAATGGAGCTGCAAGATATCTTGTCCATGGGGTGGGAAGATGCGCTCATCGTGGAGAGCCACTCTTCCGCCACAGCAAGGTTGCCAGCTCGAGCACATGCTGATATGACGGTCCTGAAAGATACCGCGTCTGGCATGACGCCGCCTTCCTGCATCTTCTTGAACCACTTCAGCGCTGAGCCCATGTCTTCGGCCCTTGCACAAGCGGCCATGACCCCATTGAACGCATGGATGTTGGGCGGAAGGCTTTGACGTTCCATGCCTTGTAGCACAGTCTCGGCGCCTAGCACGTCGCCAGCGCTGGCGTACGCGTGAATCAGCATAGAAACGGACTTCACTCCCAGCGGCAGTTCTGCAGCAGTTGCCCTCGACAACCATGCCCTCACCCGCCACGGATCGCCGCTTCCCGCACAGGCTCTCAACACTGGCCATATGCGCCCTTCCGTCATGCTCTCCTGGCCAGCTTCACTTTGGCAGCTTCCTTGGGTGCGCCTACATGGGAATGCTCGACGCAGCAATCTTCGCTCGATGTGCCGAACGTTTGCACATCGCCTCACCCCAAGGACCGCTGTCGAAGTTGCTGCAGCAGTGGCCCAAACCATCACGCCATTGCAAATTGAACGCGCATGTGCTGTCTCTTCGCGTGTCTGAGGTGTCTGTGTGTGTGTGCGCGTGTCTCGCTTTGGGGCGCCCTCGCTCAAAGCCAGATTGCATCGTCTACGAGATGCTACAAAGGTTCCAGGGCCACTATGCAAACTCAAGCTAGCCACCAATGTGTGGCTGGCAAAGGCGATGGGGTGAAGGGGGGGGACTAAAACCCTAAACCCTAAACCCTAAACCCTAAACCCTAAACCCTATTCTCTGTGTCATAGCAGCCAACAGTCTTGGAAGTGACCTCAAGCAGCCACTGCTCTGGCTAGGCATGATTTGCTAGACCCACGAGTAACCCAGAAATAAAAAGGGAAAACTTCTTTGGTGTAAAGAGGGGGCTTATAAGGGAGCCTAAGCCCTGAAAAAGAAATGGAATAGGGGCCTACTCTGGGAAAACTTTTTTGGTGTAAAGAGGGGGCTTATAAGGGAGCCTAAGCCCTGAAAAAGAAAGGGAATAGGGGCCTACTCTGGGTCCTAGTTTGAAAGGCTTGGCCTTCTACACTCAATGACGCTCTCGCACAGGAGGACGCCAGAAGCCATCTTTTTTAGGGGTTTAGGGTTTTAGGGTTAAGCCGCCATCTTTGGCACATCATGCCGGACAGCTGTCAAACGCTACTCGTACTGTGCCAGGAGCCGCGATGTCACGTACCTCCTGGGCAGGCAGGGAGTTGGTCCGATGCGCGCGCTATGCTTGCGCAGCCAGGAGAAGGTTTAGGGTCTGTCTGAGGGCTCGTGGGTAGCTCGGAAAACCTACTTACCACCACCCCTTGAATCCCTTGAACCTTCAAGAAGCCTACTGTTAATTAGCAGGGAATAATTAGGGCCTTGCATAATTGTATGTATATATAGGGTTCATCATTCCCCCATTCCCTTCTAACCAACAGTAAGGAAATGGTGCAGAAGCTCCCTCTGTCATGAGTAAGGTATGCACCTCAAACTGCACAGAGTCGAACCTCCAGTCCTGGTGGGACCTGAACCCTAATTGAACCCCACCTGAGCCAGGCCTTTAGGGTTCACGGTTTTAGGGCTCAGGGTTTTCTTAGGGTTTGGGGCTTAGGGTTCTTAGCCCTAAAACTATACTTTACATTCCCTTCCTCCATCTCCTTCGGCCCCAGGCCCTCATCCACTTTTTTGCGGCTTTGCGACTAGGTAGGATTTGCTAGGCCCACGAGTAACCAAGGATGAAATGGTAATAAGGGCCTAGTCTGGGTCCTAGTATAGTTTCAGCTTGTACATCAGAATCAACTATTGTCAAGAAAAGCTCAAGAACGTGATTAATAACGAACTTCTGAGATATGTGCACGCACGCACACACGCACGCAGGCACGCACAGACTTAGGTCTGTTATCAGCTAAACTCAGATAAAATGTGTTGGTCGTTACCTGAACTTATCTTACAAGAATGCTTTCAACATGCCAGAAGGCATGAACCCTCCAGACCCTAGAATATTATAAGCCCGAAGTTCTGGACGTGGGATGCCTGGATTTCTAGAGTTTAGGATTTACAAGGGTTGATTTTTAGGTTACAGAGTGGCATAGAATGCAGGGTTGATTTCAGCTGCAGGGGTTTAGGGTTTAGGGTTTAGGGTTGAGGGTTTGGGGTTTTGGGGTTTGGGGTTTGGGGTTTGAGGTCTTGCTCTTACTTCCTGGCAGGGTTAATTGAGCTGGGCATCCCGAGTCTGGCGCTGGTACAAGCGCCAAGGACGAGGAAGAATGCCGGCCAGCAACCTCCAAGCAGGACCTGCTGGGTGAAACCCGAAACCCTAACTTGGGGTTTAGGTTTAGGGTGTAGGGTTTAGGGTTTAGGGTTTGGGGTTTAGGGTTTGGGGTTTAGGGTTTCTGGTTTAGGGCTTAGATTCGGATTTAGGATGATGAGGGTGCAGAGCATAAGGCTTAGGGCTATTGACACTAAGCCCAAGGGATCAGGATGAAGGGGCTTGAAGGCAAGAGAGGCTTGAGGGTCTTGATGGGCTTGGCTGGGTTTAGGGTTTAGGGTTTAGGGTTTAGGGTTTAGGGTTTAGGGTTTAGGGTTTAGGGTTTAGGGTTTAGGGTTTAGGGTTTAGGGTTTAGGGTTTAGGGTTTAGGGTTTAGGGGTTAGGTTTTAGGGTTTAGGGTTTAGGGTTTAGGGTTTAGGGTTTAGGGTTTAGGGTTTAGGGTTTAGGGTTTAGGGTTTAGGGTTTAGGGTTTAGGGTTTAGGGTTTAGGGTTTAGGGTTTAAGGCTTATAGGGTTTGTGGTTTATGGTTCAGGGTGTGGGCTTTAGGGCTTGGTTTAGGGTTTAGGGTCAGGGCTCTTGAGTGTCTGGCTTATGGGTTGATGGGTTTAGGGGTTCGTGCTTTTAGGGGTTAATGGGTTTATGGAATGTGGCTTTTGTTTTCGCTTTACAGGGTTCTCTACCCGTTGTACGGTTCAGGGGCTCCGCGAAGGCGAATGCAGGCGAGCATCGTTCACCCACTGGCTCTCGTGAACAAGCGTCTGGCCATCGGGGGACACGCCAGTATTACCTCAAGCACTATAGCAACCTAGCCCTAAACCCTAAACCTGAAACCCTAAACTCCCCAAAAAACCTAGACCCTATAAACAAGGGAGCCCCTTTTTTTCGTTTTTTCTGAGGGGAGCCGAACCTTCAAACGTAAAACCTGAAAGCACCACTGAAAGCTCGTACTTGCAACTACCCAACGAAACTTCTATGGAGAGCCTGAATTACGACCACTTGGAGGTTCATGGTGCTTGTCTTGGCTACACTCAGAAGGGTAGCTATAATTAAAGTTTTAGCTGCCTTGTTAAGACACCCAATAAACCCAAAAAGGCTAAGGATCTAAAGTTACAGTAAGGTACCACAAAGTTATTAACCAATCATAACTGTACTTAGAAGTGTACTTGTAACCATACTAGGGGGTTCTCTAAGTACAGTTATAACTGATTAAAAAGTACCATGAACCAACTTGAGCTAACGAACAACGTGCATCATAGTTGCGAGTTTCGGGCTTTGGCTCACTTTGAGGGTATGGTCGGGGTTTGGTGTTTTGTTTTGCTTATTCTTGCCGGGGGGGGGGGGGTTGAGCATTAAGACTCTTTGGGCGTAAGGGTCCGAACCCCACCACGCCTAAACCCCAAACCCCAGACCCCAGACCCCAAACCCGCCAAACACAGGGTTTCAGGGTTTCATGCCCCGTGACACCAGGTGTTGGCCGCCACCCCGACTGCCATGCCGGCAAACACCAGGGCCCAGTACAGCGTAACCACGGCGCAGGCTTGCCCTGGGATTTAGGGGTTTAGGGTTTAGGGGTTCAGGGTTTAGGGTTTAGGGCTCAGGGCTCAGGGTTCAGGGTTCAGGGTTCAGGGTTCAGGGTTTAGGGTTGAGGGTTCAGGGTTTAGGGTTTAGGGTTTAGGGTTGAGGGTTCAGGGTTTAGGGCAGGTTCCGAAAGCAGGGGTGAGCCACGGGAGTCTTGGGCGAGAATTCTAGAGCCTTCCGGGCGACTAGGATGAGTTATACGTTATAAAGGCCGGTGTCCTTTTTATCTGTTCCCCTTATACCTTAATGTAGCCCCGAGATACCCTTAAGAACCCAATGTATGCCCCTATAAAACAGAAACTCTACTTAAAGAGACTACCAACCCATATAAGTTACACGTTCTAAGTGCCCCGGACCATAGCAAAGATAGTTGCATGTTCTTTGATCTCCTTGAATAAGAGCAGCAGACCAAACATCAGCAAACAGAAGCAACGACTCTGAACCCGAACCATGCAATCCGAAACCCTAAACCCTAAACCCTAAACCCTAAACCCTTAACCCTTAACCCTTAGCTCGAGGGCATGGCTCGGAAGACCTTTCGCCGAGTGCTGCTGGGGAGGGACATGGGACTCATCCTTGGCTGCCCAATAGCCATTTTTTTAAAAATCAGGGTGCCCTGTTTTGGGTCTAAACTTTAAACCCTAAACCCTAAACCCTAAACCCGAAACCCTAAACCCTAAACCCCAAACCCTAAAAAGGGAAAAGGGTACCACTGGGCTACCAAGCATCAGCTCAGGGTCCACGTGGTCCACGGCGACCTGCAGTACCCATGGCACCTCCCAGGGGCTTCTCATGTTTCATGTTTTGCTCTTACCACGTATTACAATTTTTTGTTGGGCGGGGGACGGGGGGAGTTAGGGTTTAGGGTTTAGGCTTAGGGTTTAGGGTTTAAGGTCTTGGTTTGGGGTTTGGGGTTTGGGGTTTAGGGTTTGGGGTTTAGGGTTTAGGCGCCTGGATTGAGCGCAATGAAGCCATAAGACCAACCCTGAATCACGAGGGTTCAGGGTTTAATATTTACTAGACCCGTGAGTAACCTAGGAATAAAAAGGGTGCCCTTTTGGTTTTGAGGGGATTATTCGGGAACACCAACCCTAAAAAAAGGAAAAAAGGGCCTACTCCCGGTCCTTGTTTAGGGTTCAGGGTTTAGGATCAAGCAAGACCCGGAGCCCTTGCCTGTAGACAAGTAGAAAGGCAGGACACGATGCAAAGGGCACCGAGGATGATGACTCCAGCATACAAGCGTAGCCAGCTGCAGTTCGTCAGAGTCAAAAGCCTCGGACGACAGGAAAACCCTCATCTCTAAACCCTACATGTGGGGTAGGTTTGGGGTCCCGTAAAAAAATACTTTTAATGGCCCCATTAATATTAAAAGGATGATGAAGGGACTAAGGCATTAAAGTTAGCAATTAACTTCAAACCTACCCCTGTAAACCCGAAACCCTCGCCGCTAAATCACGACAGCATGGCAGCCTCCAGTGTGTATCCCCGT